AAAAAAAAAAAAACGGAAACGTTTTAACAATCCAATAAAACCAAGAGTGATGGAAGAAAAATATTTTATTCATAGTAATTGAAACCTTAAAATATGCCATTTAAGAAACAATGATGGAATTTTCATTTTTTTAAAATTACGTCCTGTAGATGGCGTCCTCCTGTACGAATGCATTCTTGAAATCTACTGTTGAGATTCCTCATTGACTGCTACAACATCTCAGCTGGGATACTATGAATTTCATCTTGTATTCTAAATGGCGAAATGTTTGCTTGCTCAAGGTCACTGTCTCGCAATGTTGCTACTTGCTCAAGTCTGGCAATACGCACTTCAAAAATTCCCGTTTTTTTGGGTCACCCTGTATTTGATGTTTAACATATAACGTTTTGGAAAGGTATTTCAAGAAAAGTATTTATAGCAACCTGGGAACTTTTGAATTTTGATATGAATAAAACCAGAAATATCAATTACTTAGGTTACAGAATAGAATAATCACACAAAGGTATGTAATGAACGATAATACTTTGGACACATATAAGCGGCGCGTAGAAGTAGTCAACTGCTATAAGTGAGTCAAGTGAATTCCACGATGAATCTTGAACTGCAAGATATCTACCAACCGCCCCACGCGGTCAGATGTGGGAAAAGGCCGAATTTAATGTGGTGTATCCGAGCCCGTAGCTTCGGCCAAAAATTCCCCATAGACCCCGTATAAAACGGGTCGGGTAGCTGTTTCCCGAGACGAGACTGCCATTCGACATAGCCTCGTCTGGGGATCCTCTCGACCCGGAGGTAGAGAGTTTGAACAGTAGAGCTGGAGACGAATCTCAAGCTTCAGGATATCTACTAACCGTCCCACGTGGTCATATGTGGCACAAGGCCGAATTTAATGTGAGGTATCCGAGCTCATAGGCTCGGCCAAAATTTCCCCATAGACCCCGTATAACGGAGTCTGGTAGCTGTCTCCCGAGATTAGATTCTGCCCTTCGACATAGCCTCGTCTGGTGATCACCTCTTCGACGTGCTGCCACGATTTGCAAGCTTGGCTTGCAAAATCAATTACGACTGCGTAGTGAGTTTCATTCTCATTGAGTGCTCATTACTTTCAGCCTTGTGCCACATCTAAGCTTTACCTAATCATTATAGCAGGCGCATAATCTGGCGTAATCAGTAGTTGAGCAAGACTTGTACCTTCAAACGTTCGGTCAGGATGACTTGTAGTTCGTGCTCGAACAGCCAAAACATTCATTCATTCTGTTTGCAGAAACATTCATCTTCTCAGTTTCACTCACAACGTGCGCGTCGATCCGTTTTATGGTTTGCAGTCACTTTTCAATAGTACGGAACCCCGAGGTTGTCACCATAGAACGACATTATCACCTCCTTGTGCGGTTTCAATACAGGTATCAAGGTCTAGGGGTTGTTTAGGATCGCACTGAACAGTCCGTCAATTAATTGACACTCTATAACGACAATAACGCCCTCACTGCATGCAGAAGACAGTAACCACCCCCAGGAATATTCTGGAGATTGTGAATTGCTCTGGAAAATATTTCACCGACTTATCATAATCTTGCTTTCTGACATCCACTTGAAAATCAGGACATAATAATTGCTTTTTTGTTGCGCAGGCTTAACTGTCATTAGGTAAGGCTCTTCAGAAATGCTAGAGTTGTTGCGCGCAGGCGGCCTTGCCGGCTAAATCAAGATGTCATTCTCGAAATTGTATCAGTTTTGCTGGCTTATGGTATGGCAGTATATGGAAATATCCATTATTTGGCTGAGTCGGGTTCGAGATTGTTTGTCGCAGTGGGTGGGTCGCCATAAGCACAAAGGAAATATGAAGATAGTAAGGAACAATTGCGGAGTATGCGAAACATTTATCTACAGGAATAAACATGTCGGAAACAGCAATATTTCGCAATAGAATAGAGATATAATATATTCATTCACCTGCCAGGTTTATTATTTATCATTCATGTGCATTTTGAAAAAAGGGAACATTTCTTTTCAGTGTGTTAAACAAAGTTCTGTCAACTGCAACTTCCGCAACAGTGAGGAGCAAAACTTGAATATCATTTTATTTAGCAAAATGAAACAAAATTCCGTTCTATCAGATCGATACTAACAAGAAGTAGCTTTCTTAACAAATCAACAGCAGTGAAATCCGAATTCATGCCTCATAGTCGGACCGGTGACGTTCTAACCACTAGAACACGCACCCATTGGGGTCTACTAAATAAACACAAACCCCAAATATTGTAGCCAGTTTTGTCGCGGTAGCACTCTGGATATTCGTCAATTTATCCTTAAACCAAGAAGCCACTCGATAGAGGGCTACAAAGTAAGAGGCACAATTTATGGGGATATATAGGGTAAGAGACACAATTTATGGGGATATATAGGGTAAGAGGCACAATTTATGGGGATATATAGGGTAAGAGGCACAATTTATGGGGATATATAGGGTAAGAGACACAATTCATGGGGATATATAGGGTAAGAGACACAATGTATGGGGATATATAGGGTAAGAGGCACAATTTATGGGGATATATAGGGTAAGAGGCACAATTCATGGGGATATATAGGGTAAGAGACACAATTTATGGGGATATATAGGGTAAGAGACACAATTTATGAGGATATATAGAGTAAGAGGCACAATTTATGGGGATATATAGGGTAAGACGCACAATTTATGGGGATATATAGGGTAAGAGACACAATTTATGGGGATATATAGGGTAAGAGACACAATTTATGGGGATATATAGGGTAAGAGACACAATTTATGGGGATATATAGGGTAAGAGGCACAATTTATGGGGATATATAGGGTAAGAGGCACAATTTATGGGGATATATAGGGTAAGAGACACAATTTATGGGGATATATAGGGTAAGAGGCACAATTTATGGGGATATATAGGGCAATATAACCCTTAGACTTGAACAGGTTAAGATTGTAGTGATCGAGGAAGCATTCTCTTGAGTTCACTTCCACAAAGCGGTGGTTAGTGGGAACAAGCTCGAGCGCAATTTACATTTCACCGATGGAATAGGAAGGGAACGAGGGTGGGTCGCTAAAATTTGCCTGGCATTCCGGGTCTTAATCGTGAAGGTTAGAACTGGTGGAAGTAAGGAATATAGTCCATCTGAATACTTTTCATGGAAATAGCAATAGAATAACCAGAAGGAAAGAATTTTTAGGGTTGAACATGATTCATCAACCACAACGACATAGAGGAACATTTGAACTGTATCGCGACTGAAAAATGAAAGCTAGGCAGCTCCTGCCCATGTATGGAATCAGTACTTTATTTCCGGCCTGATCTAGTTCTTGTAAAGGTAGAGGATGGCAGGTGGAGCCAGGTACTTACTGGAGCGGTACAGGAAACCGGCCATTTTTTCCAGGATCATATTTACGAGTTTCACTTGAGGGCTGGGTTGATCTTAAGTCCCAATAAGCGATCAAGGCATAGATCCTTCCTAGAAGAACACCAGTTCATTGCAAACGGAGAAAATTTAGTGTCCGCTTGGTAATGATGAAACGTCACTAGTTTGGTTTATAAGGCACTGAATTTAGCCAGCTAGATTTCAGTTGTTAAAGCGAGGTCAGAGGGGAGATCAGCTGTCATACTGTGGTCATATAGAGTTTTGGAAAGGTACCCATATACTGTTATATCATCAGCGTAGGTAAATGATCGGAGTATAATCTTAGGCATATCATTTACTGGCAGTAGAGCCCGGCGTTGCCCGGGGATGTAACAGTAAGAGATAGATCAAGTATCGACCATCATAAAGACTGAAAAATAATTATTGTTTAAGGTTGACGGACACGCATGTCTTAATTAGTTTATTTTTTTTTTACGAATTGGTCAAATCCAAACTCAAACAAAAACCTTGTTTTCAATCGTTATGAGTCTATCGATTGAATAGAATTTTATTATAAACAATTGTCTTGCAAATGGAATTTTTAAAGCATTCTGAATGTAAAAATAAAGAAAAAAGTGTGCAAGAAAATAAGAAACACTACCTGCCAAAAAAAAGTTTTGTTGAAATCGGTTGAAAAATGTAGGAAATCCGATCCCATCTATAAACGAACACACACACACACACACACACACACACACACACACACACACACACACACACAACCTGGGTTTTATAATAAGTATAACTCGATATGAGTTGTCTACCTTTCATTCTGGCGACAGAATCGTGTTTTATCGTATTTTCAAATTGTTTCGTGCCAAAACAATTGTGTTTTTCCAATTTTTGGCGCCGTCAGAACCACCGCAAGGTAATTTTACGCAGTCCTGTGAAGTTTTGTTGAAATCGGTTGAAAAATGTAAGAAATCCGATCCAATATATAAACGTACACACACACACACACACACACACACACACACACACACACACACAATCTGCGTTTTATAATAAGTAAGATGTAAAGTAGAAAGACTGGAATCTGAACTCGGCTCTCCGATTTCTCAATCCGAGCTGTTATCCAGACTGAGGGTGGGGCCCCTACATTCATCTCTAGGGCACAATTTATTAACGAAATCTGCTTTGTATGTTTCCCTAATTCAGTTGAATAGTAAGCAGTTGAAACTATATCCAATTCAATTAACTGATTCCCTGCCAATCATTTTAGGAAAAACGTTTCATTGTGAGACGCATTTTTTTTTATTTGTTAAGAAACTGAGGCACCTAGAAGTACATGAGCGGTGGCTAACACCTCTGCCAGATGTACGAGTTGACAATTGGGCTCGTTTCAATCTCAGAAGGGCATAAAAATAATCAAGATCGACGTCTGTAGCTGTTTTTTTTTAACAGTATGCTTTGGACGTATTTATTCGTCCGTGCCCGAAAAAATATACTTTCGATAAAAACGTATACACATATCTACGCCGGGGAAGGGGTTAAGATGATGATACATTGTTGAAATACTTTGTTTTGTTAACCTGACCCCACGGTTAACAACTTATTTTTACTTCCTCTCTTTAATTCTTCTCTCTCCGTTTGATACGATAGATAGATAGATAGATAGATAGATAGATAGATAGATAGATAGATAGATAGAGAGGGAGAGAGAGAGTAAAATTTTCTTACGATTAGACCGAATTTTATTAATATTGAAGAGCATGTATAAAAATCCTTCTCCATAGTTTATCTGTTTTTGAATACAAATACCGCACATTAATTTTCGACCAATTATATTATATTTCTGCTTTACTAGGGGGCGTAGCTTAGTACAATAAATTTTCATTATTTTTGGGGAATAATTAAAAGTTTCTTTATTTAACGAAAAGTAAAGTTTGTAAATCTCGACTAAAAATGTAAGCAATAACTTCAAGAATACTAAATAATATGAGAACTTAAACAGGCGTCAGTGTGTTTCCAAAAATTCTAGTGTTTGTAAAATTCATGACCCTCACCTAAAGTACATGGTCGAGGTAAATCTGATAAAAGAAATACTTTTATAGAATCTGTTTTTTGAAACGTCGAAATCAATTATTCTGTAGTAGCAAGAAAGAAATATTAATATGGAAGAAACAAGAAAAAGATGTAGATTTCCGTTTGGATGCAATTTTCTTTAATTTTTTTTTTATTTATAAATATATTTTTGTAGTACTTGTGTTCCATACAGAAACTGAAAATAAAAGAAATGTTATAAGGAAAAATAAATTTAAGAATAAATAATAGAAAAAAAAAAATATGGAAATCTAGCTTCTTTTCAGGAATTCTTTCTTTTCATGTTGTTGTCTTCCAAGATAATGTCTGATTACGAGAATGTACGTGTGATTCCCATCTTTTCATTGTTTTTTTTTCTGTCCACCCACGTGTTGTTCGCACTCCTGAACACGAAGTCTCTTCATCCACCCACGCGAAATAGGGAGGTTGAAGCTCTTCCGCGATACCGTTGCTAACACCGCTATGACGTACATATAAAAGCTCCTCCCATTTATGTGACTGACCAAATCCCACTATTGTGTGTACGACGTAACCAACACTCAACAGATGCTCGCACTCAGATAAAGATACCATAATAATAATAGGAACAAAAATGGATTCCAGACATCAAGTTATATCTAGAAGTCTAATCAACATAGCATTTGTGTACTTAGATATGAACTATTCTCCAAATTATCTACAAACGATAAAAGAAAATATTTTCCAAGGTTCACTTATAAACATTATATATCTTTATACTTCACTTTTATTGTGTTTATGAACGTTTGTTATTGTGGAACTTCAAAAATGGCTTCAGCTTTCTAGTAGCAACGCAGATTTGAAGGGATTTATTTTTTTTAGTACATAATGAATCTAGAATCAAGGATATTAGTTACTACAATTCAAGCAAATAATATTTCTCGCTTAATTGAATTGTCCTTTTGAAGTGTGCAATTGTTGTCAGTCTGACTTTGATTTGAATTGTTGGTAACTTTTAATGGACTCCTTTTCTTTTCATGTGCTGTATCCTTTCAGGACGTAGGCGATCATGGCTCGCCACTTCTCCCTATTACTTGTAACCGTCTATAAGTTTCCTCCTTCTGCCACCCCCACAGACTACGTTCTGTCATCCACTTGCTTAAGTCCGCCAGGTATGTCATACGTTGTTTTCCCTTGTCTCTCTTTCCCTCTATTCGACCTGTGAGTATCAGATCCTCCAAGTCCTCTTTCTCATTACGTGTCCCAGAGATTTCATTTGCCTCTTCCTGATGTTAAGTATAAGCCTGCTCCTTGTTTGCATCCTCTCTAAAACCTCATCGTTGCTCACATGCTCGGTTCATGTTATCCATAGCATCCTTCTGTAGAACCACATCTCCGTTACCTCGAGTCTGTTCTTCATCTTTGAGGAGACCGTCCAATATTCGCTGATGTAAAGGAGGACAGATGTCACGTAGCAGCTCAGTACCCTTTTCTTTGTTACCAAAGAAATCACCCTGTCTCGTAATACTCTGCCTAGCTTTTATAATGCGTCCTTGCCTATCCCAATACGTCTTCGGATATCGGCGTCGCACTTACCGTCCTCCGTCAAAACACTTCCCAGATATTAAAACTTCCGCACCTCCTGCTTGATTTTAGTGTTCCCGACCTGCAAATCGCATTTCGGGCTCATCCTTTTACTGATGACCATGCATTAGTGAATTCATTCTTTATTTACATTATTCGGACTATTGACCTCATCTTTGTCACCATATTTATTACAACGTTTCGGCCTTCTTCAGGTGGTTGGAATGTCGAACTGAACCCTTTATTTTTCTCACTGGTGTAGACTGTTCTAGTTCCGCGTGCCATGTTTAATGGATGTCAGTTATCAGTTATCTCCTGTTAATTTCCCTCTGAAAGTTCTCCACTGCCTTAACCGTGTATTGAACTCACACTCTTTGGGTCCTGTCACTGGATGCAGCCAACGCCTTTATCCACTGTGCCATGTGTCCTTGAAGGCCGGAGCGTACAACGGCCGAAACGTTGTAATAAATATGGCGACAAAGATGAGGACAATAGTCTGAATAATGTAAATAATGTACATAATACCTCATCTCAGAAATATAGACAGTCATTCTTTATTCCTTTTTCGAATTGCGCTGGCATTTGGAAATATTCCTTCACTTTCACAAACGTCTTTTTCAATAATTTCATTAGGGCATTAAGCGCAATATTATTGCTAAAATTTACTGCGATGAGGCGTTATCATTATTTACACTAGTTATATTCGGACTATTATCTTCATCTTTGTTGTTATTACAAAGTTTCGGCCGTTGTGTCTTCCGGGCTTCATCAGGTTTATATCGATCTGGATAATCTACAGGAAATTCTGAACTGAACCCTTTATTTAATCTACGGGCGTAGACTGTTCTCGTTCCACTGCTCATGTCTAGGGATATCATTTCGTTTTTATTTTATTTAGTACTGTTCAGTTATTGCTCGCCCGTTTTCAAAAGTATACACTACCCGGTCCAGGGATTGAACTCACTACCACTATGTCATCAAATTTTCAAATCATCACTTTTATACACTAGGCCATTGCCCCCGAAGGAACCAGATCGATATACACCTGAGGAAGGCTGGAAGGTCCAACCGCTGAAACATTGTGATGACAACAGCAAAGACGCAGGCAATAGTCCGAATATAAATAATGCACATGATGCTAATTTTTCAAGTAACAATTGTAGTGTCTGCTAATCTCGGAAGTCATTGATTTTATTCTAGGTTTCATTTCAGGTTATTTTTTTTTGAAGAAGAAGGGGATATACATGCTGAACAGCGGCAACAATCATCCTTTATTCCTTTATGGACTTTTTCAAAACTTTGGATATCAAATTTGAGTTGCAAATAGAATGCATTAAACTATCGTCACTATCATGAGTCATGAAGGATTTAACAGAGTTTTGCAATAATGATTTACTGTCAGCTGTAATCAGCGCTTCAGTTTGTTTAGCTTTATCCCAATTCACAACAGCAGCAGGCTTGCCACTTCAGGGCCCGTCACTTCGGTCAGTTAATCCTTACTCTCTGAGATTGCCATTAACACTACTGACCCATCTTTTTACTGTGCTTATTCTAAGTGTAGCCTTTCCGTAAACATTTACTAGCCACCTGTGAATGTTAGTAGTATATTTTCCTTCCACATATAAAATTTCTATGACAGCTCTTTACTTTCGACGCGTGTCCAGAGTGACAGTTTCTTTTTTTTTTGTTTTTTTTTTAAAGTATGAGTAAAAAATTGGAAATAATCCAACAATTCTTTCCTTGATATTCTAGACACTATATGGTTTATATCTGAAAGAAAAATAACCACGAATTCTGACCAATACTTTTAAAGTACAATTAGAATATAAATTACTTTTTGACTGAACCTTGTAACTAGAGTACCACATTGAATTATAAGGGTTCATCGAGTCTTAGAATGATCATTTTTGGTTCCAGGCTTTATAAATGAAGTTTTGAAATTGATATCTTTTTACAGAGTACAGAATGTTTTTATATAATCTATTTAGAGAGAAATGTTTCTCACTGCATTTTCGAACGAAAAATTGAAATAAGGAAAACAGTAATAGAATTTTCTCGATAAAATCTCTCGTTCTGTATTTGAAATGTAGAAAATAATAATTTGGTAAATGCTATATTCTAACTCTTCTTTATAAAAGTATATTATAATGAGGACTTAATGGAAGAGAAAAAATACTTATTGTCACCGTTTTTCGCCGGGAAAAATCAGCAGTTGTCATATTAATTCACATCGTAACAGTTTAGATATATTTTAAAACAATATTTTTTATATCTTTTTTAACCGATCATGAAATTTAAGAATCCCCCCACTCACAGCTACACACACAGTTATATAAGTAAAAGTATTAAGGATGCACGGTGGAGTAATGGATAACGGCTCAGATTAAGTTCTGGGTAAATAGCAGGACAGGCTGTGTTCTTGCTTTGAGTGGCAACCGTTCTAGGAGAAAGTAAATTGTATGAAGCCCTGGCGTGTCACATACTATACAGCTAAAAAAAAAAAGAATGGTTGACATTGACTTGATGATCCCGACTACGGTCGGCCTGGATGGATGTATTAATGGTGTCCGTGTGTATGTGATGCACGCCTGCATAATTGTTTGCAAATGTTTACACCACACGACGAAAAAAACTTCTCCCACTTTTATTTACTGGAGTAAACTTGATATTTACTTAGTTTAAGTGTAACAGTCTTCTAGAAATTTCATTTTTTGCATTTAACAACAATTTAATCAAGAGGTCAAAGACTTCTAGTCTCCTTCAAATTTATTTATCTACTAGCTGAATTACCGGCGTCTTGCGTCGGGTCACACATTTTTTTGTAAGAAAATGATGACTGATTTTAAATCGTTGTTATAATTTGTGGAGAAAAATGAAGCATTTCACTATTATTCACTGATCTTGTCGATGTGACCTCCATCTTCTGGCTTTCTCCTATATTTTGGATAGGAGTCATTGCGTTTATCAATTTTAAATTTAAATTAAATCAAAGTGAAAATAATTTTTAGAGGTGGTGGGGGATGCCCCCCCCTCCAGGACCCGTTTGATCAATATGAAATATACTCATACACTGGGTAATGTAGTTCCAGAATATATATGGTTTATGGGGGCCTATCTCCAAAACCCTAGGATGGTCAGTGGTTTCAACTTTATATATATATATATATATATATATATATATATATATTTTAAAGAAATCAACGTACATAGAATCAACCAGCAATATTAATGCGATTAATGGCGAAATCACTTCGCTAGTAGAACATAATGTATGCATTAAAATACTGTTAATCCATTGAATGATGTGATCCTCATTTATAAAACTGTTGTCAGATGTTTCAAGTGTATATTTTTTTAAGTTAAGCAAGTACTTTCGAAGATCCATGTCTCCATCGTCAGGCTGTAATTTTTTTCCTTTAAAGTTAAAACTAGAAGACGAAATAATTGTTTGTAGACCGAAAGATGTTTTTTTAAGAATGTGCTATTTATTGACGGTTTTACAATCTCGGAACGTGCGAGTCGCAACGCTAATGTTCAAAATTTCAAGTGAGAATTTTTATATGAATTTTGTAATATGGTAAATCCACGAATTCTTTTCTTTTTTACAAGTATTTTTCAGTTAACATGACATGAACTAGGTATATAGTTCAATTAATATAGTGATATGTCTTAGTATTTTTTTTCTCGGGAATTTCGTACTGCGGATCAATTGTTTTTTATAAATATATAATATTTTATATATAAAATATATGCTGCCTAATATTATATATATATATATATATATATATATATATATATATATATATATATATATATATATATGATTAGTAAGCGTTTCTTGAAAATTAGGCAAAGAAGTATCATAATGTGATCAAAATGCGTAACAAAACTAAACCTTGTTGACAGAATTGATTGTTTGTAGTATCGAAACTCAACTAGTTTGTAAGGTAGAGTGGATCGAATGAAGCGGTTACTAAAAAATGAGTGATTTAGGTGAGACTGGTTTTACGAAAGCTAACATTAATGACTTAGGATACAGGTAGCAGCAGGTATCGTGGTCAAATGAAACTAAATATAACGACTGAAAACTGTCACTGCGTAGTTACCTCGTGACAGGAATTCGGCTGCCATGACAACCTAACGACAAACGCCCACAATCAATATTTTTGCATAAACAAGAGGCGGTTGGCTCTTCGTCGAAGTACCTATGCGTAACGCTTCGGGTATAGTCTTACCGAGTTATATGTACGTTACTTATGAGAGACATTTTTCATATCTATCTATCTATCTATCTATCTATCTATCTATCTATCTATCTATCTCATTTCTTTCTTTCTTTCTTTCTCATTCTGTTAATTTTTCTATCTATCTATCTATCTATTTTTCATTTTTTCTTTCTTTCTTTCTTTCTTTCTTTCTTTCTTTCTCATCATCTTCATCATACTATCTATCTATCTATCTATCTATCTATCTATCTATCTATCTATCTCATTTCTTTCTTTCTTTCTTTCTCATTCTGTTCATTTCTCATCTATCTATTTTTCATTTTTTTTTTCTTTCTTTCTTTCTTTTTTTCTTTCTTTCTTTCTTTCTCATCATCTTCATTATACTATCTATCTATCTATCTATCTATCTATCTATCTATCTATCTATCTATCTATCTATCTATCTATCTCATTCCTTGCTTTCTTTCTTATTCTGTTCATTTATATCCATATTCATTCTTTCTTTCTTTCTTATCATGTTCATTATACTTATATCTATCTATCTATCTATCTATCTATCTATCTATCTATCTCTATCTATCTATGTCATTTCTTCCTTTCTTTCTTATTCTGTTCATTTATATCTATGTTCATTTTCTTTCTTTCTTTCTTTCTTTTTCATCTTGTTTATCTATCTATCTATCTATCTATCTATCTATCTATCTATCTATCTATCTATCTATCTGCTAACGAAGAATGCTTCTTTATTTCTTGTTTATTTAACGAAAGTGTAAAATATAACTTTTAAATCTACGTTCTGTTAAATTTGCGTTCACCTTGTGCGACTGACAGGTAAGGATATCTGATTGCTTCCTGCTTTGGTTCTTCTTGTCACTGTCAGCTGATGACATCTGGTTAGCTATCAGAGTAACGACGTAATATTGTTAGAAGTCCAAAAACATTACTTGAAGCCGACAAAAGATACTAAATTTTGTAAATCAATTTATTAATCCATTAATGTGAAATATTTATAATGTTTATATTTCCCAGCATGATCTTTCTGATCCCCGAAGAGATATTAAATCTTATAAAAGAAAACTTAATTCTCTGTCAGTCACACACTGCCTGCGTGGTACTTTGCATGAACAAATGAATTTTATAAGCGTATATTTGTTGTGCGAGTGTGACTTACATGGACACCCACCATTTAATCTATACACAGATAAAGGCACTCACACACACACACACACATATATATATATATATTGACTGAGTTTGAAAAAAGACATTAGCATAATACGTTCCCCTCACACTCAGTCAGGAGAACCTCTAACATTGGTTGAGAAATAAAAAAAGTTTGAAAATTTTTAAACACTAAAGAATCAGATAATTATAACATTTTATTCAACTATTCGGAAATTATCCCATAATAAATTATTTTTAAAAATTTATTAAATTTCTTGCAGAAATATGTTTAGGTCAGTTATTGATTTAAAATATACATCAGCACACACAAACAGTTATATATACACATTTTCTGTCTGGCAACAAGCCCCGGGTAATAAGAAAAGTGTATAAGCCGGCACCATGAAGCCATTTTTATGACTCCAACTCTATATAAACGGAATATATTTTCTAATAAATGTAGTATTTGAAATGGACAAACAATTTTGATTTCACATTTGTTTATTTTGCCGTCAGCGAAGTGAAAGTTGGCGAACTATATATTTACATAATATATATATATATGTGTCAATGTCTGGACCTCAAGTAATTTTAAGTATAAAAGAATAGAAATTTTAAAATAACATCTAACTCACTCATGTCTTCTCTCTCCCCCCTCACTTCCTCACTTCGTTAGTTTACATATGCTTAATACGGCCAGTCAAAAATGTGTAAATTTCTTTTCATTTTTTGTTTCAACCTTTGGAAGTAAAGTCTGATGATCAGCAGTCTTTTAAAAGGGCTGTGGTCAAATAATTTATTACATGGAACTTTAAAGTGGTCTGTTTTTATTTAAATTATTTGCTCTGGATTTACATTGAGCTCTCTGGATTTTATCCTCCTTAGGTTTACCCATACGGATTACCTAGTTCTTCATAAACTAAACTAACTATATATATATATATATATATATATATATATATATATATATATATATATGTGTGTGTGTGTGTGTGTGTGTGTGTGTGTGTGTGTGTGTGTGTGTGTGTTTAAAAAAAATCCAATGTGGTAATTCGTATGGAATTTCCCCGTCCTGAGTATGACGATAAACAACATCCGCGTCCTGGGTAAGATGATAAAATACGTCCAACAGCAAGACCTCTGATCAGGAGGTTTCGAGGAGCATGAAACCACCTTTTAATTGCTGGTGTTCCCAGGTCTACCCGGGGTGGTAGCACCCGTTAGGGTCCCAGTTATGGGCAAATAGTTAACCCCGAGACTATGGTAAAATCACTATGAAAGTGTAAAAATAGGTTTTAATACCTGAAATTCTTCGTAAATAATTATTACCAGCAATAAAGTTTTGTAGAAAAAAAAAATTTACCAGCAATATACTTTTGAGGGAAAAATATTAGATTAAATAGATTTTTGAGAAAAACAAAATATTACCAGCAAAATAAATTTCAAATTCTCTAAGGTCATTTTTTTACGTCTGTTATATTGCTTTTTGTTCAGGGCAGAATTTTAGGCCTAATTTTAATAAGTTGATTTCGTCATTTGTAAGTGCATATGTAGATAGGTTTATTATTTCTGGTTTTGTGTTATCTAAACTGGTCTTCTTGTTCCGACTGGGTTTTCTAAAAAAAGAACAATTGTTTCTTTCCACACATTCCAGGTTTTCTAAGAGATAACCTCCTGCTACATGTTTTGGGTCTTCTATACAATGAGAATTTCTATTGGTAAAATTGGGATTCTTATTTTTAGATGGTTCTAATTAGGTGTGTTAGTTTTTATTATAAGATGTGTTCCAGATTTTCTGTTTCTATATGGGGTTAAGCAGAGATTTGTAGAGAATTTTGATTGTATTTCTTGATATTTGGCAGTGGTTGCTAGATTTGTTTGTTTTTTTTTTGCTTTAGGTGGTATCTGTAAGTATTGGCTTTGCGGACGTCTGTGTGTGTTCCGTCTTATGTCTGGATCTGTTATGGTATAATGGTATGTTGTAAAGGTTTTTTCTGTATTGTTAAGTGTATTTTAGTAATTCTATTTATTATGTATATATATATATATATATATATATATATATATATATATATATATATATATATATATATGTGTGTGTGTGTGTGTGTGTGTGTGTGTGTGTGTGTGTGTGTGTGTTTATGTATTAGCATATTCTGGATATTGGCCATGCTGCAAAGGTTTATATTGCCAGCGTAGTTTTATCTGTTCGAGTTCTTTATACTTGGTTTTCTTTTTCATCATTTTTGCTGTAACTGTTGGTTCTTGAGGATTTTTGGGTTTTCTACAGAATCTACTAAATATAAATCTTGTTTCTATTTATAACCTTCTTTCCTGATTGAATGTTTTTTTTTTATTTCTGTTTTCGTGTTCTTTGACAATTTGTATCATCCAGTTCTTTGTTGTTCCCATATATGTTAGTAAGCCAATAATTGTCATCTTGTATGACAATTCGAGCTGAATGAGACCTGTTCCAACTTTTTCAAAAGGTATGTAGAGACGGTCTGCATCCGCCATTGGTTGATGCATGTTATGCTTAGAAAGAGGTTTTCTTGTTTTAGAATCCATTTGTCTGATGTCATTTAGAGTCTAGTTCAAGATGTTGAAACTATATTGAATCACTGGAATGGCAAGGCTATTAATGGCCATAATTAATAATAAAAGGAAACAATAATAATAATAATAATAATAATAATTTCCTTTTATTTCTATTGTTTACACATTTCCTTCCGATTCCCAACCAGATACCTAAGGTGAGAAATGGTTTAATGAGATTTTTCATTTAAAATTTATTATCCTGCCTTCCAAGGTCAAGATAAAGATTTTCACAAGTGAGAAAAAAACTCTTAGCATCGAACTTACGTTTGCAAAAAACAGTTTCAACAGTGAAATTATGAGGCTTACATGCTATCCAAATCCAGGGCCAACTCACTCCTGTTGGAGAAAGCCCTCCCTGACTGACTATGCCTTAAGGGGTGTAGCCATACTCACCACGCTTATTCACTTGCAGATTGGTGAGGCTATTTAACCCATAGTTTTTGTAAAAAAAAAAAAAACACAAAAAATAAATAAAGATAGCAGACATTTTATATGGATAAAGCGCTTCATAATGTGTAAGCTGTACTTGTGAGTACATTGTTTAGTATTTCTTTAAGCCATGGACTGCCAGGAGTCACTTCAATGAGTCTATCGATACCTTTTTCCAAAAGAAATCTCCTTCAGCAAACATGTCAAATGTCTAAAAACTCTTTTCATCTATAGACACTTTAATCTTTATTTCCTTTTTTATTATCTGATGTATTTAATCTATAACAGATTCGGCTTCTTAGATAAGAACATAAAAAACGTAGGTAGTTTTGTCGAAGTCAAGTTTGGCACATTTCATAAAAATGAATGTAAAAAATCGTTTTTGGTAAGACTGATTCAGTCTATTTGTAAAAGATCCATTGTTCCCGCTGTTCATCTCAAGGTCCTCCACAAAACCCAGAGATGGATATGCAACGTGATTGGTCCTGATCTGGCATCCCGTTTACAGTCACTTCCTCACAGACGTACTGTGGCTTCCCTCTGTCTTTTCTACATGTACTTTCATGGCAACTGCTCCGACGAGCTACTTTTACTGGTTCCCAAAGTGCAGGAATTTAAGCGTGCTACTAGGTTGTCATCTCGGTCTCAAACATTTACCGTCGAAACGACTAAATGTAGCCATCTTTTCATTTGTCCCTCTTGCCTTCAATCTTTCCTGTGAGTATCAAACTTTCCAAGTCCTCTTTCCTCATTATGAGCACAAGAAATTTCAACACTCTTTTTCTGATGATGAGTATGAGTGTCCTTTTTGTTTTACATTTTTTCTAAAACTTCATTGTTGCCCACATGTGTGGTCAATGATATTCTCAGTATCCTTCTGTAGAACTATGTTCTGTTGCTTCAAGTGTCTCCTTCATCGGCGAGGAGATTGTCCAGTATTGACTGCCATATAGGAGGATCAGATGGCTCCAATGAACCTTGAAGTTATAGAAATGACTAGACATATAAGTTGTGCTGGACTGCTTATGGAAATGCAACATGAATTGCCCGATATCGAGTGAAAGCTTGAAGGAAAGGATATTCCATTTCTGAAGTTCTGAAAACATTTGACATTAAACAATCTACGATGTCGGACGAATACAGAGAATGATGGAAGGAATTACCACCCACCGTGCACGGCGCAATGGCCGACTGAGGTCGTTAATGATGTTGAATAGAGACATCTGACTAGAATTATCTGTAGTAACCTTGATTCATACCTCACCCACATTCAATGCAGAAGATACCAGAGGTATATCCGGCAGGACAAAGTAGCGTTGTTGAAACTTGACTAATGCATGGAATAATAATGCAACACAAAATGTACTAAGAACAAAATGTATTGAAACAAGAAAGTGTACACAATATTTACATATAGTCTTTTGTATATTCCTGGTAAGACCGTTCCTGGAGAATGTGTTGACTGAGTCGCAGTCGGGCAGAGTCTCTGGTTGAATCTCTTGATTCCTCTCTCTCTTCCCGGTACCAACCATATTTATATAATCGGTACACCACTATGCAAATTAGGTGGATCCTACCGCAA